ATTCACTTCCTTGCATTTGTAGAAGTGAGGTCCTCATTTCCTTGCTGGGTATCAGCTGAGGCCTGTTCCCATCTTCTGGAGGCTACCTGCATTCCTTGGCTTGTGGCTCCCTTCCCCTGTTTTCAAAGCCAGCAATGGTGAGTGTAGTCCTTTTCACACTTGGAATCTCTCCTGCCCCTTCTTTCTCTGTCTCCCTCTTCTGCTTTAAAGGATTAACAATTAAATCAGGCCCATCCAGATAACCCAAGGTAATCTTCCATCTTCAGGTCCTTAACCTTAATCACATCAACAGAGTCCCTTTTGCTATGGGAGATAGCATGTTCATAGGTTCTGGGAATTAGAATGTGGACTTCTTTAGTGGAGCCATTATTCTGCCTTCTCTGATTGGATGTGGGGTTAATGGAGAGGATAGAACCCATGTTTCTGACTTCAATAATCAGGTGGATGCAGCTTTAGGGGAGGAAGATGAGTTTGGTTTTGAACATGCTGACTTTAAGGTGCTCCTGGGAAATCAAACTGGGACAATCTAGTAAGTAGTTAGATGCATCAGCCAAAAGGCAGAGGAGAAATTGAGGCAGGAGATACAGATTAGGAAGCCATCAACATATAGTGAGCCCTCAGTGAATGTGTAGAATGGGAAGACAATAGGGCTAAGGACAGAGTGCTGGGGCCAATAATGTTCTAGGTGCACCAGAGGGAGAAGCACTCACGAAAGGAAGAGTAGAATCACCTATATGGTCTGCCATCACAGAGTCTTGGGTCTTGTGGCATATTTCTTCCTTTCTCCTCTACCTGGCCTATTTTTGCCTCATTTACTGGTTTTCTGCCTACTTGTAGTATCTGCTTCCTAAAACTTCAGCTTGCACATTGTGCTCTGTGGCCTCTCCCGTCTGCCTTGTTATTATGCGTCTCACAGCTTCAGCTCCCATTACTAAACTGCCTCATTCTCTTGATTTTTTCAGTTCAAGGTGAAAAGAAAAACCTTATAAAGAGAATCAGATTGACCCAGCTTACCGTTTTGAGTCCTGCCATGGTCACCAAATTAAATTAGGATTGGCTGTTCTGAGGCCAGGTGCCCACCTTGGTCCAGTCAGCTGCTTCTCTATTTCAGGAACTAAAATGAATTCAGTTTGACTGTTCAGCAAATCATTTTGTTCCACAGAGGCTTTGAGGGAAGAAGGTTAACTTGATCTCCATCGTATTTGCTGCACCCAGGATTATGATGTCAAAAATGGGCATTTAATAGGTTCAGGCCGCTTCACTATCACCCCTTGCTCCTAGCCTCATGTAGGCATAATGCTATCTGTGTGCAGGAGATATTTATAGAAATTGAATTTGGGGTCCAAAGCAGAGGAATAAAATCCAGGCAGGCAAAACTCAAATCTAATACAGTCATTTTCATTCACTGACTAATCTATTTTCTATACTGCCTTGGTATGTTCATAAGCATTATCCAAATGAGAGCTTGTTATTCAGATTCATGGGCCTTCCAGCCACTTACCATCCATATATCCTGCAGGTGCTCAGCATCCATACCCATAAGGGAGTGATGCCTGCCTGTCTCTGAATCACAGCTATGCACTGACTCTCCCATCATATTGAATATGAAGCATCCCATCTCCTTTTAGAGAGAGACACTCTGAGCAGGGTTACAGCTTGCATTTGTAGTGCTGAGAGGAGCCAAAAAGTTACCATTGTTACAATTTGATGCTTTTCCTAAATAATGAGAGAACTAGAATTTATATTGCCAGTGCAAACAAAATACTGTAAAGTTTTCAAATTCCTTTTAGTTTTCATTGTACACAGGTAATAATCTTTCACAAGCTCTCAATTTACTGAACCTAAGTAAGGAGGATGGACTCCCAAAAAGGTAGGGCATCTACTTTGTGGTCAAACGAGCTTCTCTAAAACCAAATTCCTATGGTGCCATGCTTCAAAGAAATGTTTCCTTGTGTGGGGTTCATGTGAGGCCACCATGGATTGGTGGTGGCCTGGGCCAGTGGCGATCTGCTGCTCCTCTCCTCTGTCCCCTGCTGTAGAAGTTCAGGGCAACACAGAAGTGGTTGCCCCTGCCCATAGTTCCTGCTTAGAAATAGGCTGAAAACTGCAAAGTACAGTGTTCTCTACAAGAGAGTGGACATTTGTCATCCATTTCTCCTGTGGAACCTTGCCAGGTCATCCTCTAATTGTGACAGAGGGCTGTCCCTCCATGCTCAGCTGGCTAGTGTCAAGCCTACTGGGGTTGTTTTAATCAAGTCTCTTCAGTCTGTCTACAAGTGACTTTTTTGTCATGGTTAACTACTTTGGGGGTAAATTAAGTCTATTAGATAATAGATTGTTTAAGTAGCTCTTCTCTGTGGAACTGACCTCAGTGAGAACAGAAAACCTGAAAAGAGCAAGGAAAGTTCAAGTCCTGGAAAGGGCTGTAGAGATGACCTAAGATAATCTGCTTACCAGGAGATGCTGCACTAAGGCCCTCAGAGTTGAGCTGGGAGGATATATGGATGTACAACCTCAGAGAGCTGGGCCAGTAAGAACAGGTCAACCAAACTAGCATTGAAGCAGAAGTTATGTGCTGGTACTTTTATTAGTTAAAAAATGCAAGGGAAAGATGAAGGCAAATATTGTTGAATGGAATGAATGAGATAAAGAGGCAGCCTCTAAAATAACTAAAGGGCAACCTTTTTCCTAGCTGGGTACACAGATAATTTTCCTTTGGGTCTTTGAATCAGAAGATCTGAAAGATAATTAAATTCTTATGCCGAACAAGGGAATCATGTAGTTCCTTTCCTATCTTTCTTCCCTCCCTCCTCGTCCTTCCTTCCTGCTCTCTCTCCAGACCCAAAAGAATCTTATAGTCTGGCTTCAAACAATTACTTGTGTTCTTTGAATCTACCATACTTTTTTACACTCTGTGACTTGGTACATGTTGTTTCCTAAGCCTGAAATGGCTTGTCTCTCCTTCTCTATCTTGAAAAATCCAACCTAATCTTCAGGGACCAGCTCAAGCTCATCTTCTTTATAAAGTCTTCTGAACTCCCCAGATTGGGTAAGTTGCCCCTTAATTGTGCTCCCACACATCTTTGTGCTTGTGCTTCTATTATATCACTTATCGAATTGAGTTCTAATCGTGTGATAGGATAATACTCTGAAATATTACCAGCTAAATTAGGATTAATTACATATAACATGCTTAAAGAAGATGGAAGTTTATTTCTCTCATCTGTTAAGGAACACTAGGGGGAAGCAGCCTAGAGCTAGTATGGCAGCTTTGCCGTGTCATCATGATATCATTATGAATCCAATTTCCTGTCTATCTTCTTTGCCCTACTTAGCTCATAGCTTTCATTTTCAAGTTCTCCTCATGTCCAAAATGACTGCTCAAGCTCCAGCCATCACATCCCTACTCAAGAAAGCAGAAAGGGGGAAGAAGAAAGAGGTTGTGTCTCCTCTCTTTTAAGAAGGCTTTCTGGAAACACCATAGAACAATTTTGCTTACATATGATGGGCCAGAACTCAGTCACATGGCCATATCTAACTTATATGGAACTGAGGAAAATGTAGTCTTTATATGGCAGCATTGTGCTAGAAGAAAACTTGTGCAGAGAATGGGTATTGAGAGGCAACCTGTAATCACATTATCTGATACAATTTTACTTCTGGTCATTCTTGCTGCTGCTCTTCTACCTATTGAAGCTGAACTATCTGTAGCTTTAGGAAGCAGTCAGAACCCAGGTGAAAACAAAGATCACTTATAATGGGTTTAAGATTTACAGTCATAAGGGCCCGGCTCCGTGGCCAAGTGGTTAAGTTCGCGCGCTCTGCTGCGGCGGCCCAGGGTTCAGATCCTGGGCATGGACATGGCACTGCTTGTCAGGCCTTGTTGAGGCGGCGTCCCACATCCCACAACTGGAAGGACCTGCAACTAAGACATACAGCTGTGTACAGGGGGGGTTTGGGGAGATAAAGCAGAAAAAAAAATAAAAGATTGGCAACAGTTGTTAGCCCAGGTGCCAATCTTTAAAAAAACAAAGGGAAGATTGGCAACAGTTGTTAGCCCAGTGCCAATCTTTAAAAAAAAAAAGAAAGCAAGTACCCTTGGGAGGCTGGATTGTTTGGGGAAAAAAAAAAAGATTTACAGTCATAAATCAGGTGTGCCAAAATGTAACTTTCCTCATTTACTGAACTCCATTGCCTACAAGTGTCTATTTCCATTTATGGCTAGAAAAAAAATCTTATCAATTAAAAGTAATGTCACTTCTGTTTTAAAATTGAATATCTTTGGGTAAATAGTCAAATTCAGGCTCCTTCCCTTCCCCTTTTTCCTGCCTTCTCACCAGGAAGTTGTCTGGTTACCACAGTCTTTCTGCAGTTCTCTAGTTCTCTTGGATCTCCAATAATTAGTTTTGTTAAATCTCTGTCCCCTTCTCTACCCAGGAACCTCTTGAGGTCTGGAACATTGTCTTAGCTGTTTTGCTTTCTCCAGTGCCTGTTGTAGAAGTCAACATGTAGGATATAGTTAAAAATGTGACTGATGAATTTATGAGTATACTTTAAAATGCATCACATAATTAATTCAAATTATAGCATAATGATCTGAAAATCCTGTAAAATTAAAAGTGTATTTCTCTAAAGCCCCTAGAACTAGGTTTATAGCTTTCATATGACACTAAAACTCTCAGTTATAGTGGTTTGTGTGCTTGCCTTTGCCCTCATTAGAGTGTCTGCTCCCTGAGGAATGTTTCTGATCTGTGTAACCCTCATAGGTCCTGCAGAAAGCCGTGGGCATAGTAACCTTTCAGTCAATGAAAATGAAGTACTAAATGAATAGAGACTGTCACTTTATAATTTACCGCTAATGAATGACTCCCACCCAGGGAAGAAACACCCAGGGTAAATTTTATCAGAGCTATTTAGAATGATTTCAGTAAAGACAAGTTGATATTTTGCCTTTAACTGAACACTTTTTTTGTAAGAAAAAAATTGCTTTTGTTTTTCAGAAATCCTCCACCTACTTTACTTTACCCAGAAAAATGGTGTGAAGAATTCAACCACTTTATTTCACAGTGAGTATTTCTTCCACTGAAAATTGCTTATCTAGCAAGGCCTTGGACAGTGATTGGAGAAGTCCAAGCTGTGGAATTTACTTGGCATTAGAAATTGTTATGCCTTTTAGCACGTTATGACACAGAATTAGTTCCAGTAAATGATAGACGATGCCTCTGCAGGATTTGAAAAATAAGGAGTTCCATTTGACTCTTGGCTATAATCAGTCCTCCTGATCGTATGGGTCTCATTTATCTGAGAATATGCTCTGTCCAGGGGCAGATATTGCTAATGTGTCTTATTTAATAAGGGTGGAGACTCAACATCTAAAAATCTGATGCCTACACTGGGACCAGAGAGGAGACAGAAGGTGGCAGCCTTCAACAGAGGTTTTGCAGCTTGGAAGTTGGGCTTTGCTCTAGGATCTGTGGTTTGGGAGCAGGGCTCCAGTTCCCAACATGATTGAGGAGGCAAAGTAGGATCTCAGGCCTGAGGCATCTCAGCCAGGGCTCAAGGTATGGAGAACAAGATGAAACCCAACTGGTGGGTGATGTACCTGATGGGAGCCATATTACTGGGAACTAGGCAAGACTGAATGGACTAAGACAGGAGCAGAACCCAACAACAACACCAGCAGGGTGACTCAGTGCTGGGAACATGAACTTTTGACGTGGCCCTTGTTCCCAAATCTGGGGAAGATGCTCAGTATGCTAGAGGGGACTATGTGACCCTAAGCTAGGGGCCTGGTGAACTGTAGGGGCAGGAATCTAGACCAGGCATTACAAGCCATATCCAGGCACAGGAGCTGGAAGAGGAGCCCTCAGTGTCTAGTATGTCAAACAAGGTGTTCAGAGGTCATGGGAGGAGAAAAGAAGTGACCAAAATAGCTGATAAACAAGAAATAGGGAAGGGTCAACACAAATTTCTCTAACTTATGCCTATGTGCAGACTTAGCTTCCACAAAGAGGCAGGGCAATGACGCAAACTGGGTCTCTTGATCATCTTCTTTAATTAGTCACAATACAGACTAACAGTCCCTTATCCACAATTCCAAAATCCAAAGAGCTCTAGAAAAATGAGTTTTTTTGTACTTGAGTCATTTAGCTGCAATCCCTGACCTTATATGAACTGATTTGGTGGCAACACATGATTTAAACTGAAGTGAGGCTATTTATAGTCATTACTTATCTCACTCAGTATGAATATTCATATGAATTGCTGCAGATATATTAATGTGTTTGATTACAGTGTGCTGCCCCAGATCCTGCTGGGGATGTTACATAACATACAGTAAATGCACTGCTTTACTTTTCTAGAATTTGATAAAATTCTGAATTCCAAAACATAGTTGGCCCCAAGGGTTTTGTATAAAGAGCTGTGAACTTGTATTTCATTTTCATTTCAAATGGCATCATAGTTCAAGGTCCCTAAAATTGTTTGCTTATCCAATCCTTCCTGGATTTGTGCCATCTTCCTCAGAAGAGAGGAGTGGTAAAGAACTCTAAGAACTCTACCAAGGAAGGCCTTATTGGAATGTGACCATCCAGTTCAAGGCTGGGGGGTGGGGCGGGGGGAGGACATTTCCTTGCCCCTCCTGCCCCACCCTGATGTTTGTGATGACTGCAGAATGCAGAAGCAGCCACATGTTGAGGGTGGTAATGGGCACTGTTGAGAAGAACAACAGATACAGCAGGAGAGATGAGGCTCACATAAGAGTAGAGGAAGAGCTACTTCCTGATATTTGGGAGCCAAAGGAGGTGGAGACAACTAGAGAGCTGAAGACACCCTGGAGGCTGGGCACACATTTCAGATCACCCCAGGGAGAGAAATCCAGGAGCTAAGGTTCCAGTGATTTTGCTGGCAAAGGCCTCATCCAAAGAGTTTTCGTTTTCATTCCACTGCTGCACACAGATGTCCTTGATTGACCTTCTCTAAGCTGTTGGCCTAGAAAAACTCATTACATATTCACAAATATGCCTTCCTATACCAAGCTCTTATGATGCCTCTAAAATGTGACTTGACTCACCAAAGTTTGACTTATGTATATTTCTTTGAATATATTTGTGTTCTTAAACCAAGAACAGCATTGCTTGGATGGATTTGGGAATAAAGATACATAATTGATAATGGGGTTGAGACTTTAGGGTTACCCACACTATAGAAATCTCTCCCTACCATTGATTTTTCCTTATGGCAAATCCTTCTATATGCCCATTTAAATCTCCTCATGTTTTCCCCAACTCTGAGAATTCTAGATGTACTCATTCTGAGATAATTTAGATTAGAAAGGTCTTGATACCAGAATGGAGGATTAAACACAGGAAACAATGCCTTTGGTATGTATACTATCAGGAGCAAAGCAAAAACATCTTGTTGAAATTGCAGGGGAGAGAGAGTCTGAAAAGAATCTAATGAACTAAGGAAGGTAAATAGAAATTCAGTAGTCATCTGTTTATTACTAATTTAAGATATGGAAAAATATCAATTTTTGCTTTATTTAATGAATTGTCCTTATGGTTTTATTAGTGAAAATATTATATATTATAAGTGTTCATAGATTCTTTCCTGACCTCAGCCCCCTAATCCTATTTTCCCCTTAACATGTTAGATTCCTCAACCATGAATTCTCCTTCTACAAGATTTTTAGGAATATAACTCTCAAGATAAGGGATTAATTATTGTATTTTATATCTTTAGGTAGAAACCTGCCCACTATTCCCAAATAATATCCTTTGCTTTCGTAGATGAACCTGCTTACCTTAGGCTCAGCCTGCCAAATGCAGTTTGACTTTACTAGTTCATTCTGTTTATTCAAATCTCTAATTAAATATAAACAATGACATTCACTGGGTTAGAAATGCTATTTAAAGGAAGAGCTTTGGTTTGCTTTTATATTTACCTTGCTCATATTGGAAGAGAAAGGGAGGAAGTATAGAGGATTAAGACCTTCAGATTATAAGCTTTTCATTATTGGTGGGACTGGGGTGGGGAAGATGATTATCTGGTAATTTCAGGAAAAGTGTTTTTAGCCTGAGTTATCCAGATAATTGCTTCAGTTCTCATTGTAGTAAGCCATGGTGCATTATATTAAAGTAAACTAAAGTGATTCTCTCTAAAGAGTGAACAGAGCTAGAAAATTTTTAACAGCTTTAATATCTTTAATATCCTGAACCTATTTGACTGCTGAACCATAGCAGAGTCAATTCAATAATTTCAGTCTTTCCTGGTTCATGATGGTCACCACTCACCAAAGGACCTGTATGGCTTCTCATTGATTGCTGCAGTAGTCTGAACAGATTGGCCTGGCTGCAGCCTAGTGATTATAGCTGGGTAGACAGGGGACAGTGTGCATGTGTGTTTGGGGAGGGGACGAGAGGAAGGAGAACGTGAGTGCCAGGATGTAGTTTAGTGTTTTCCAGATTTGTTTCCAGGCTTCTTAATTTGGAGACAGTAGGAGAGATTTTAAGAAGGTCTGAAATCCTCTTAGTAAACCTGTTTTGGGATTAAAAAAAAAGAAAAGAAAGATCAGCCTGTTTGGTTCTGAACCTTTGGTCGTTAGTGATAATTGATTCATTTATGTGTGTTAGTTATGCATTTGTCAAAGCATGACTCCTGACAGCTTAGTTATGATAAATTAAACATGATGCTCACATAAATTCTGCACTGCTTTTTATCCATATGCTAAGACCTGCCTGCTGTTTTTGTGTCACCTCTGTAATGTGTGGTTGGCTTTGTAGTGATTTCATTATCAGCCCTTTCCCCTATGGCTAAAGCTATTTGCATAACAAGTATATCTGGTTCAAGTTTCAGCCAGACTTCTGTTTTGTCGGGAGGCTGCATTCAGAAGCAGCCTTTTGATAAGATAACAATAATTTTCCATTGTCAACTTTACCTTCATCCTAATGGATGTCACTTCTTTTTTTAAATTCAAACTAATTTCAGGTCTTTGGACTAAAATTCAAAAATACTTCCCCAACCATTAGCCAAAAGGTATCTATGAACTATGCTTTTTCATTTTGCCTCTAAAACTTTTAGAGTTTTATTAGGAATTAGATTCAAGACTTCATATTCAATGGCTCTTGAGCTGATTATGGAGACAATAAAGATGGATTTCTCTTGGTCAAGGACAAATCTCCCAAGAGCATCATGGCTGCTCCAGCTTTGGACTTGATGACTTAACTACGTGGTTGCCTGAACACACACTGTTTTCCTGGGTTGGCTGGCTTGGCAGCTAAGCGTGCAAGTGTATCTGTTTCCAAGTGAGCATCGTGGCCAAGCCCTGCCATTTAGTCATGAAATATGGAGGCAGCGTTTCCTATCCTTCCAAATGACATTCACAGGGCTGTAAGCATTTGTACCTGAATGTTAACAAGGTGAGATCACTCTAAGCTACAAAACCGCTAAAACTGATGGGCATTTGCATCAATTTATTCCTTAAAAATTGAAACTCAGACTTGGAACATATGCTTTTCTCTAGGCCTGAATGTTTATAAAGGAAACTATTTTGGGGTGGTTGTTTCCTTGACATTGATTATATTCCCTTCAAGGCAACAATTCTCAGCTGTTCACCGTTCTCTATTTTGTGTTTCAAGGCAGCTTAATTCCATGTGGCTTTATAATGTCAATGAACGACATACTTGGGATGATGAATATCTTAAATCAGTGATTGGTTAAGTCCCACAGATATTCTTGGCTTTTTAAGTCCTGTTGGATTCTCAGGTGGCCATGCAAAGGGTTAATACTTCCTGGAGTAGCAGGATACAACAACCTTTATTTACGTTACTTCACAAATTGATAATTTTAATTAAAATGAGCTGCTGGTATCTCTGATGCGGGGTCGGTGAGCCGAGGAGTCGAAAGAAAGATTTCTTGAACTCTCAAGATCTGGTAGTAGTGCTCTTTTATTTAGAGAATAGTGTGGAATAGCATGGGGACAGGGCCCATGGGCAGTCAGAGCTGCTGCGGGCATGGGCACAGGACCCATGGGCAGGCAGAGCTGGTGCGTGGGGACAGGACCCACTGGCAGTCAGGGCTGCTGCTGCTGCCCCGAGTTGAGGGTTAGGGCTAATTTTATAAGGCATGGGTATGTGAGTCATCTCTTTACAAGACAAAGGAAAGAACATGGAAAAAAGTTAAAGTGGTATCAGTGCAGGTGGGGTCTGGTCATTGGATGATCCCATGACTTTTAGACAAGAATCAAATAGGATTAAGTAAAGGTCAGAAGCCACCACCCTAAATCAGTTACATGAGATTGCCAGACAGCAACCAACCCAAGTTCTTGCCTTCCCCATTAAGAGTTTCTAGGGACAAGGTCATCTCTCTTCTTCTTCCTGGTACAGAGAGGGAGGCATCTTTACAGATAGAGGTTTCCCTTAGAAATGTAAATGTTTCCCAACAAAGGGGCAAGCAAATTCCACTCCTCGGAGCCTGCCTCTCATCTGTAGTTTTAAAATTAACCAGCCTAAAATCCTCATCATCTCCAGTGACAGACTCTCTCCATTTTAGATTTATTTAGCCAGTGATTAGCTATTATGGCTTCTTAAATTAATTAGCATCTCTTGGGCTACAGGGAGTTAGTGAATTAATAAAAACTCATGGAGAAGCTCAAAATTTAAAAAATAAAATTCTAATTTAAAAACTCCCAACCAAATTCTACTTTCCCCTCTTAACATATATTGATCAATATACTTATAAATGCAACCCAGCTTCTTCCTCATTTTGAAAAATTGGGGATTTTTTTCCTTACATGAGAAGAACAAATAGAGCTAGCTCTCTGAAGGGTGTCTAATTTAGATTACCTAATGGATCATTTAAGGACACCAAGGGCCCAGTGTGACCTCAGTTATACCCCGCTTATAAACTCAGCCGATAAAATCTGATTTTCTCATGGTGTGAATCAAGAAGTGGCTCAGTGTGACTTGAAGTTTGGAACATAGTGCAGTGTCCACGTGTACCTGGAATCTACTGTTGTCCTACGAACTGGGGCAGTGAGGGGTTTAGCCTCATCCAAAATAAGCCAACGGCATAGTAAAGTGGGTAATCCAGACTCTAGTCAGTGTATTCTGTTTATTTCCCATCAAATGCCGGTTTTAGATCTTGTGAGAAACCAGATCTGTAGCATATGTCATAGATTTCATATTAGTGCTTGTGGCACATTATGTTAGGTGACTTTTAAATAGGGTTAGTCTAAATGATATCTGTACCATTTACCTCATATGGGCTTTTCTTTCTTCTATTTCTTAAAAATCATACTTGAATTTCATAATGTAAATCACAAAGAATCTGTGGTTGAAGTAAAGAGAAGTGGTGTAAACCTCTCTTGTGCTGTCTGAGCTCTGCCCTGTTTGTGTCCCTGCACACGATGTGTGGAGGTTGTGGGGTGGGGAGGTCGGGGCGTGACTCACGCATCCACCCACAGTCTGTCCACCTCTGCTCCTCCCCAGAGTGCTGCTTACCTGGCTTATCTCAAGAAGAGGCAGCCATGGAAGAGCAGTGTGTGCATTCAGCTGTGTCACTTTCTAGCTGTGCAACCCGAAGGAAGATATTTAACCTCTCTGACCCTTGGTTCTCATTTGTCAAATTGGGGCTGAGAATATCTGCCTCATAGGGTGACTGTCAGGATTAAATTATATAATGTGTATGTGGAACCTGACAAATAATAATAATAACTAGCATATGTAACTAACTCATGCCAGGCTCTGTTGTCTACATGTCATATATTCACTTAATCCTCATAATTATTTGAGGTAGTTCTAATATTATCTCCATTTTACAGAAATTGAGGTAGAAAGATGCCAAGAGTTCTAAGACCACAGCTAATAAGTGGTGGAGCTGGGATTTGAACCCCAGAAGACTTGCTTCGGAGTTCATGCTCAGCCGGCAGTAACTATTTTTATTACCCTTTGTACTTTGTCCATACCACTATCCTGAAACTGCTTTTTGGCAATGTTACTAGCTCTGTCTCCTTTTCTCTGCCATTGTGGTATGCGCAAAAACAAAAGCAGAATCATCCCATTCCCCCGTGGATTTGGCTGAAAATCAGTAATAAAATCAGGTACAACTCCAAAAGGAGACATTAGAAAAGAACCAAGCTGGGTCAATAAGGAATTGCAGATGAGGTGGCACACATATTTATGCTGTATAAAGGTCACTAGCGTCTTACCATATCAAGCTGAAAACATCACCGCTATCTGGACAGTTGGACATGTTTTATTGGGAAAACTATTTTTCTCTTTGTTTCTATGCTTCTGCACTAGTAGGTTCAGTAATAAATATGTGAGACCTTTCGTTTGGAAGAAAAAGTGTCAATGACCTTCTCATCCTTGACACCTCTGGAATATTTCAATCTGCTGTCCACATTCTCTTTATTTAGACCTCAACTCACTGACTTCCACAGCTCAGGCCATTCCCTCTCTCTCTCTCCTCCCCTCCCTTCTCCACAGCAATAGCACTACCCCCCCAAACTTGACCTGAGAGAATCAACTTCAGTAGGAGTCAAAACAGAAGCAACGCCTAGAGTACCTTCACTTCACTCCACAGGCAGCCCTACCTTTCCCACCGATCCCAGGACACACCTTATCCAGGCTGAGTGCCTCTCACTCTGCTGTCAGCCAGCTGCAGGTTTCTCCACGGGGAAGGAGCAGTGGGACAGGGAGTGGATGCCAGGACTGTAGGAGGCAGACAGACTTACACTGCTTGGCAGCTGACTATGGGAGAAGACAGGTGCTACAGAGAGGGAAGAGTTAAACATGACTCCAGTGTTTACAGCATGGGAAAGAGTCTTTTTAGAAAACACAGTGATGTGTCACTTAACAGTGGGCTATGTTCTGAGAAATGCATTGATAGGTGATTTTGTCATTGTGCGAACACCACAAATTGTACATACCCCTACCTAGATGGTTTAGCCTACTATACACCTAGGCTATGTGGTACTAATCTTATGGGACCACCATCATGTATGTGGTTCACTGTTGACCAAACATGCAGTTCATGACTGTATGTGTTGGACAGATTAAGAATACAGGATGTGAAGTCAGGTTTTATTCTGGCACTGCCACTTAGGTTTTTGACCTTGAACTAATTATTTAAACTTTCTGAGCCTCAGTTTCCTCGTCTGTAAAATGGGAGGACTAATACTTATATAATAACCACTTGGGATTAAGATCAAGTCAGCTGTGATAGAAAATCCCAAATAACTGCTACTTAAATGAGGTAGACTTTTATTTTCCTCTCAGGTAAGGTAGACTTGGAGTTAGGCCACATATGTACTGCTGGTCTGGCAGGACACATGGCAGCCGCCCAGGCTCCTGTCCTTGTGCTGCCGCATTAAGTACAAGGGCCCAAGGGCACCTCATGGGCCAAGATGGCTGCTGTAGCTCCAACATTTGCATGTTTATTGCAGGCAAATGGAAGGAGAGAAAAATGAAAGTTTTCTTACTTTCTAGCAGTTTCATACTACATAGGCTTAGCTACAACCTAATCACATGGCCACACTTCACTAAAGGAAGCTAAGAAATGTAGTTTTCTAACAGGGCAGCCATGGGCCCAGGTCAGTACCAGGGCTCTATTCCTAAGTAGAGTGGAGAGCTTATAGACAGGTAGTAGTCTGCAATCGGGCTACTTTATAGAATGTTGGAAGAATTAGGTGAGATACAAACTAAGAGGTCAACAAATGCGAGTGATAAAGATGAATATTATAACTAACAATAGTGATGCCATCAAAAGAGATGTGAGAGTCAGGAAGGAGAACCATGGGGCCCATGGAGTGATGAGTCATGGCAGAAGTGAATCTTGAGGAGAGGTGGTCATGATCCTCACCAAGGTTGATCTGTGGCCTGGGAGAGATGGGGAAAATAAGGACAAGGTGGGAGCATGGGGTGGCCAGGTCGACACCCCTCCTGGGTCTTCTCCCAGGAGCTGTGATGTTCTTCTGGTTCAATACTAAGCCTCCAGCTTCCTGCCTGCTCCTTCATTCCTCGGCCACTGTAGTTTGCACTGTGGAGTTTCCGTAGGCTCTGGTACAGAAGAAAATCGGGATCTGGGTCAGTAAGAATTTTAATTAAAAATGTAAATGAAGGCTGTGTCACCAGTACTACATTCTTCCAGCCCACTGATGATTTCTGGCAGGGATAAAAATAACAGACATAGCCCTTTAGCACTAATGAGGAAAGGGCTTTTTTTTTTAATGGATTCAAAATTTATAACAGTTATTTTAAATATAATGAGTCGTCATAGATTCTTCTGGTCCTCCTTCTTCTTTTGGGTGTGTGTGCAGCTTCTGTTGACCTCCCAGTATTTTAATTTGGAACCTTCTAAGGTCATCAGATGCATGATATAGCTGTCATATCAGGTTAGTGAGTGGGGGACAAAACCCCGTAATTGATTTTTGATGTGAAGGACTGTTGAATGTTTTTTTGAAAGAAGAATTTTATTTGAAAGGCTATATTTTAGTGAATAATGGGAATTCTTGCCTTTAAGGGAGACCCAAACCTTAAACACTTAGGCTCAAGTAAGGCTCCTCACACATGTGTAAAAAGCCTGGCTTTGATCATCCCATGTTATGGGTTGAACTGTGTCCCCTAAAACTTTGTATATTGAAGTCCTAACCTCAGTATTTCAGAATGTGACCTTATTTGAAAATAGGGCCATTGCAGACGTAATTAGTTAAGATAAGGTTGTACTGCGGTAGGGTGGACCCCTAATCCAGTGTAACTGGTATCTTTATAAAAAGGGGAAATTGGGACACAGACGCACACACAGAGAACGTCATGTGAAGATTGAAGTTATGCTCCTGCAAGCCAAGGAACTACCAGAAGCTAGCAGAGAGGCCTGGAACAGATCCTTCCCTAGCACCTTCAGAGGGAGCATGGCCCTACCAATCTTGAGTCCTAAAGTCAGACTTCTAGCCTCCAGAACTGCGAGACAATAAATATGTGTCGTTTAAGCCACTCAGTTTGTGGTACTTTGTCACAGCAGCTCTAGGAAACTAATACAGCTTGTGACTCGGTGGTTACATGACCTGCAGTCATTTGATACCTCCAAGCCGCTGCTTCCTAAGCTGTGGGTGAGGATAGCAATGGCCACGTGTCTCCCGGTCAGATTGAATGTAACATCCTTTGAATACAGTACAGCATCATGACAATGTCGAGTGTTAGTATTATACCATAAAGCCGCAGTGTATTTTCTTTCCTTGCTTCCTTCTCTCCTTCCTTCCTTCCCTTTCTTCTTTCCCTTCTTCCCTCTCTCCCTCCCTCCCTCCTTCCTTCCTTCTTTCCTCTCTTTCTTTTTTCTTTTTAGTTAAATAAGTCTCCAATCTTAAGGGTTTATATTAAATTCCTCCTCCCAAGCCTACTGCCCAATAGTAAAAGAGGGATATTTTTGTAATTGTCAATGATCTGGTCTTTATCGAGGACTTCAAGAACAAAATAAACATTCTTCACTAAAATTTCTTGGTCACATGTGCCTCTCTGAGAGGAACAAATTACAGTAGAAAGAAATAGCAAATTGGTGGCACCTTGTATCTCAGCACTGACCACCTGATCCCTGTCCTGAAATGCTGTGTTAGAAGGAGATGAGGCTGCATCTAGGATGAGGGATCGTGATCACTTAGTGATATTTGCTATGAGCCTGAACTGAGGCAACTGTAACTTATACATTTGTGAACCTAGAGTTCACTTTTCTTAATTGTGACCAGGTTCTCTGCTGTGTGAAAATCTTTGTTCATGGCAAAACTCACGTCACCAAGGAAAGCAAAGAAAACTTAACGCTCAACTAAATCAAGTGTAGCCTAAAAGATACCTGAGAGTTAAAATAAAAGTAGTTGAATAAATTTGGGGTTGTCTGTGTGAGGAGTACAGATAAGAATATTAACATTAGGATTTATTTAAAGCTTGTTATGTGTCAGACACAGTGAAATGCACTTTACGTGCATTATTTCAGTGACTCCTCATGGCTGCCATATGAGGCAGGTTACTATTCAGATGGGAAGCTGAGCTTCTTAGAAGTTAAGTAACAGCCTGAAGTCTCATAGCTAGACCTGCTAGAAACTGGCAGAGCCAGGATTGAAACTCAGGTCTGCAACATCGTCCAGTATCTCTGCTGAGGTTCATGATGCTGCGGTGTATGTGTGAGTGTGTGTGTTTAATTGAGGTGAAATTCACAAAACATAATATTTGCCATAAAGTGACCAATTCATTGGCGTTCAGTATATTCACAGTGTTATGCAACTACCACTTCTATCTAGTTCCAAAACATTTTAATCATCCCAAAGGAAGCCCTATACCTATTGTGCAATTACTTCTTATTCCCTCCTCCCCTCCAGCCCCTGGCAAACACTAATCTGCTTTCTGCCTATTCTCCCTCTATTGATTTACCTATTCTGGATATTTCATATAAATGGAATCATAATAGGTGACCTTTTGTGTTTGCCTCCTTTCACTTAGCATAATATTCTTGAGGTTAATTCATATTATAGTGTGTATCAGTACTTTATAGCTTTTTATGGCTGAATAATACTATATTTATGGTTTTGAGGCAGAATGTCAGTGACCACCCTTTCACCCTCCTCCACCTGGAGATATGAAGTCTAATGCTCGCATACCTCCTCCGGTTTCCCTTGTCAGTCCCCCCATGGTGCCATGTGTGACCAGGCTGTTGAAATACCAGGTGCTCTTTCTTCTTCCCTACCTATACCCATATAAGTAAGGAATGTTTGGACATAGTCTTCTGCCTCCCTTGATGTTTGGGACCAAAGCACCCAGAAGCTCTAGAAGTGGGAGCACTAGGTATCCTAGGATATGTGGTTTCCCCAATCTGCTCCCGACTTAGGGTGGTAGTTTTGTTATCTAGGTTCTTTTGAGTGCCCGGAATATTCCATCATATGGGTCTCTGTTATTCCTTGGTGATGATTCAGCTCGGTGCTGCAACTAGAGTAACAGCTTCCAGTTACTCTCCCTGGTTCTACAACTACAGTCATTGCAAACCTTCCTCCATAAAACAGTCAGCATGATCTTTCTGAAACCCCAAACTGATCAAGTCATGCTCTACTCACAATCATGCTATTGCTCCTCACTGCTTATAGGCTGTGCCAGCCTCTTTAAAACATAGGGTCATTCAGGATCTGGACTCTGTCTGTCTATGCAATAATATTCTCTCCTCCATACTGCCTGCACATTCTAGCAAAATTGAATAAGTGGGATTTCCCCTAACTCCCCAGAGAAGACTCAGAGGCCCTTTCCCTCATGCTTTCATGTCAGCTTGGTGTATTTTACAGTCCTTCATAACAAGGAGGGGAAAGGGGAGAAGGTCCAGCCATCCTGAAATTATTTGTTTGTGTATCTTGTCTCCCCACTCAAATTGTGAGTATCTTTTCTGATACTCCCAGAGAATATATCTTTCTTGCTTTGTATCCCCAATACCTGGCAGAATTCCTGTCACATGGCAGGGGCTCAGTAAACATGAGTTCCTTTTGAACAACCAAGAATTCTAGAAAGGAGGTGATATCCACAAAATTATACATAGCCTATGATGGACCTGGCTATAAGTTGGATGTTAGGATTCATGATCTTTGGACAATCTCTCCTAACCACAAACGTAATATTAAGGAAGAGAATGTGGGATGGGAAAAGTGGTCCAACACACTCCCCTAACACACATAGATTTTCCCAAAGAAAAAGTAAAATTTTAACTGTCAGAAACATGATAGGATTGTTAAGAGTTAATGATGACAGCTACATGGTTAGCTGTGAACTCCTTTTTGTTTGCTTTGAATATAAAAAAATGATGTCAAAACAAATCCTCTCTGGCAGTCTCAGTGCTTATTCCTCTCTAGCAACCTATGCCTGTTCCTCCCCATTTCCCTCATCCTATTTCCTCACTACTCCTCTAATTTCCCCCTACCACTTCCTCCATCGACCTGGTTCAGAAGTCCAGGGAAAGGTTGAAGAGGAGCCATTTCTGAACCCAGGATTAAGAGAAACAGCCATGTTCTCGTAGCTCATGATGTTTCAGGACTATGGTCAGTGACGTGACATTCTACAGAGCTGGCAATTTCCTTCTAATGTAAACTTTCCCATGCTAAGCCTGCTTAGAGGAATATGCAGGTGTGGTGGGTGGAAATCAAGGTGTGGTGGAGTTTGAGACCTATGACCTAAACTTTGCTTCCCTCCTGTAAAATAAGAGCAGGGTCACTTCTCACAGGTGTTAATCTTGGCCATATACATTAGTAGCTTAATACATTCTTCACATCAATAGATGTTACTAAAGAAAAATAATTTAGAATAGTGGTAAACAGAAGAACTTTTGGATAAATTTGAATTTGAAGGACTTTTGCCTTTAGATGCAAGAGATTTGCTGTCCAAGGAGGCTCTTTAAGTTTAAACTTTTCCAAACACATAACAATGACACGTTACATATACAAAGAAAAGGCCAAAAACATATTACTAGGGAAGGAAGGAAGGAATCTAAATATTGTGACAGATCAAAATGGAACAAAAAACACAAAGTACTCAGCGGGGCTGAAGTCACAGGTCTGCTGGGATCAGAAGCAAGCAGTGGGGGCTGGGAGTTCGGCTCCTGTGGATAAGAGACTAAGAGGGCTCCAAGCAAGACAGAGTCTAGTGTTGGGCTCCTACTTGAAGCCAGTATCTGGAGTGGTTCTCCTAGACTGGGGAAAAGAGTGGAATAGAGGAAGGGTCATATGATCCTGTGTTCTAACTATATCAGTTTCCTCTGTGTTCTCCATCACCTAGGGTAATGCTGACCATCTCCCGAACTATGGCTTTTAGCCAGCTTCTGGCTGAGGGTGGTAGAAGGATATATAAGCAACTAGATCTTCTGCTGCCACAGTGATGGTTTCTTCCATATATGTAATAAATCCATGGGTCAGGAACACAAAATGCCATTCTAAAACCTGGCTCTGGGCTAGAGACCCAGAGAGCCAGGAAGACACAACCCAAAAATTACAAGACTAGGAGGGTGAGCACAGAGGTAGTGAGAGGGAAAGGGAGAAAAAGTC